CGCCTCTTCCCCGACTTCACGGTCAAGTTTTCCCAGGGCCCCCACTTCAGGAGGCAGCCTGGCGCCCATGCTCCTTCCCAGTTACAGCTCCACAGGCGGACGCCCTCTCCCCAGCCTCAAATCCTGGGAGCGATGGAGTTTGGGGAGGACAGGGCGGAAAGTAGGGATGAAGGGGTGATCAAATGGCCCCGGTTGAAGAAAAGGCCACAGCCGGAGCCGAGAATTTATCCTCAACCCAAGGGAGGTTTCGGAGTCCGAGCTGGGAAAGCAAGGGGGCGAGGGGTGCAGGGATGTAAGGACAGGAACCAGGATGCCAAAAGGAAGTCAGGGAGGAAACGCGTGCTGCCAAAGGAGGTCAAGAGCCTGTGTTGTATCATCTCTTTATCGTTTTTTTGTTTTGGGAGTGGGAAAGTACACTGCTAGTTCTGACTGAAAAAGCAGAGAAAGGCCTGCCCGTGGTCAGAAGGAGCACCAGACCATCAAATCTAAGAAGGCAAGAAATCAATGCAGGATTTTTACTAGCCCTGGAAAAGCCTAGAAGTTTGTACCCCCCTCCCTTTTTTTTTGTCATACCAGGGATCAAATTCAGGACCGTGCCCCGGTGAGGCAGGAGGGGTGCCACTGAGCTAAATCCCTGGCCCATCCCTTCGGTATTTTAGAGGGGATGATGGCAAGAAACCTCAAAAAAAGGTGGAGTAGAGATGCAGGACCCAGGCCAACCTATCGAGGGACAGCTCAATAACCTGTGACCTGAGCCACAAAGACTTCAGAGGGGAGAAAGACTCAAGAACGACATCAGAGGCTACAGTACCTGTGTGCTGACTTAAGAACAGAGAGAATTTCTCTGAGAAGTACCAGGATGGGACACTCTGTGCAAGTCAGGTACCATGGGGAGCCATTTGGGAACTCAGAGGTAAAAAAATATTATAAGGTCATATTATAAGAGGCCTCCCCAGGCCAGAGCCTGCCCTTGGCCTCTCCATTAACCCTTCCAGTAGCTCTGCATTTCTATTCTACAGATGAGGAGTTTGAAGCTCGGGGAAAGTGCCAACTTGCTAGAGGTCAGGATCCTGAGTGTGGGGTGTGGCCAGCATGTAGACCCACATGTTCGTGCCTCAAGTCACACTCCCTCCCTCCCTCCATACAGCCTGGAGTGCTGCTGTCCTCTGATGGAGCTGCGTAGCCAGCGTGAGAAGAGCGAACGCAGTAGGGCAGAAGAGAAAGCTGGACAACACAACTGGGAGCCCTGCCCTGGAGGAGTGGAGCAAGAGAAGAGCACAACAGCAAGGCTGGACTGTGTGTGGGTGTGGACCCAAGATACCTGGTTTAGCTGGCTGTGCGGACAGGAAGCTCAAGCCCATGCTCACTTGCCAAGGTAAAGGCCAGAATTGCTGTGCTTTTGCCTGCTCTCTACATTTTGCTCTATGAAGAGAGTTGGGGGACATAGAGCCCCGTATACACACTGTAAAACTGAAGGAAAATATCAAAGTTCCCCTAAATGTGTAAAAAGTTGGAACCTGAGCTACACATGATGGCAAATGCTTGTAATCCAAACACTCTGGAAGGCTGAAGCAGGAGGACCAAGAGCCCAGCTTGGGAAATTTAGAGACTTAGCAAAACCCTCTCTCAAAATAAAAAGGGGCTGGGGATGTAGCTTATGGGGAAGGCTCTGAATACAATCCATAGTAGCATTAAAAAAAAACTACTATAGTTAAAATCACCTTCTAGGAGATAGGATAGATGCAGTCTGGAGCTGAATGGTGGCAGAAGGCAGACCCGCCCATGTCATGTCAGAATTCCACCTTGGAGCACAATACAATCTAAGGCAGTTGGATAGAGAACAAACGTGTGTGTAAGGGCTGGGGATTTAGCTCTGTGGTTCCACTGCCTGTCTTGCAAGCACAAGGACCCGAGTTCAATCCCCGGTACCAAAAAAAAACAAAACAAAACAAAAATCAAAAGTGGGGGGGGTGACACATATACAACTGTGTACCACAACTCACCCTCCATCTCTATAATCCCAAAGCTTAAGGACAATCTACAATTTGAAATTCCTCAACTGCAAAGTGCTATCCCAAGAAGGGCCAGAGTACAGTATGAGAATGGATGAATTTTTAGATGGACGCAAAAAAACAACAACAACAGCAAAAAAAATCTGAGAGGCAAAAAGCCAGGTAGATGAGTGCCACATTCACTGGGAAAGGGGACTTGGGGCTGTCCATAGATGTTTCATGGAGAGGAAAGATCAGGGAACAAAAACAGAAACAAGGAGCCAAGTACCTAAATCCTAGGCCCAAACCTGGGGTTGATTACATGCAAAGGGGGAAAAAAATCTGGCCACAGAATGGAAGAATTAAGAGAGGTAGTACATTGTCCTGCCCACCCCATTACCACCAAAAGAGAACTACAGAAAGGAGAAGAAAATGAAAATTGTTCCAGGAAATTGCCCTTCTATAAACCATGTCCAAGATGCCCTCAAAGTTTTTGATTTGGAAGGAATTCTTGTTCTGAATTTAAGATGGAACTGTACTTGAAATTATCAGTAAAAGTAAAAGTTTTAAATCAGCGTCTCAATTTCCCTCTCTCTCCTCCCAACATCTCTATCCTTCAGTCCACTACCCCACTGAGACTCAGTGCACTAGATCAAAGAAAAAAGAGATTAACAAGATAATCATTGAGCAATGTGTGTGTAGCTACCTGTAATTCCTTTTGGAATAGAGTATAAAAAATTGTTCAAACACACACACACACACACACACACACACACAGTGGGTGGCTTAGCTTATCACTGGCCCTTACTAAGTAGACTAACAGCCCTTAAGTGCTATGCTCTAGTATCCTGCTGCCCTTGCAAGAAGGAAACAGCTGTCTTAAGAAGAACGTCTAGAAAAGGAGTCAGGTAGAGGGCAGAGCTGTTGCTCTAACAGGAGAAAAAGCCTTGCTCACTCTAAAGAGAGTCTTACCAGAGAGTCTGTAGTTTCTTTCCTTAGAGGTTTAAAGCAGAGCTGAGATCAGATGCTGTGGAAGCAGCTCAGCACTGCACAGGTGATTTCAGCACCTGCCACTACACCCTTAGGTAATCCTTCTTGCTCCATCTTCCCCACAAGAAACTAGTAAGGGAAAATGGACACAACAGACTGGATGCTTCACATTATATAAGTACTAAACAAAAACAACACAACACCTTCTTCACTTGCATGTTGGAGGGACTCCCAGGAGAGTAGAGCCTGCTGGGTTGGATGAAAAAGTCTTCCACACAATGTAGGACCCCAGAGACAGCTCAAAAGGCATCTTGGAACCACACAGCCCAAGAGATCCTATACTTAAACGAAGACTGCCAATAGGAATTTGCAAGGTGAAGTTGGGGGAGGTAACACACCTGCTCTGAGACCCACACCTGTACCAGTAGCAGCCTCGCTTCAAAAGGGCTGCCCTGGGCATCAGACCAGCGGAGAAAGAAAAGCTCAGGGTCAATGATTCTACCTAGGCCTGTGGGAGAGACAATGCTTCCTATGGGGGAAAAAGAAAGAAATCAACAAAAAAAGTAAGGCACAAATATAGGATTTTCAGGTACTGTTGCCATCTCTCAGGGAATATAAGGCCCAGTTGTTACTCACTTAGTGAGAGGCAAAGAAATGTTGGAACCCAAGTTTACTGCCCCTGGCCAAACAAAGTGTACCGAGCTGTCTCTCAAAACTCTCCATACTATCTCTCCTTCCTGCTATTTGCTTCACTAATAAATACAGGCATCTTGGCATAGGTAACAGTGTAAGAAAGGCACAGGCAGGTGGTGAGAAGATAACCATGAACTGGTCTGCTCTAATCGTAACATGGCCTGCAAAAATATGAATGGCTAAGAGATGTCAATCTAAAAACACTTGCCATCTTAAAGAGCCTAAGACTATGATATGGCACAGAAAGGAAAGGCTCAGTGCTCACCTCAAGAACGAAGTTCTATCTATTAATTAGACAGTTGGCCAGTAAGACTCAAACTTCCCTCCACCCCTCTTTAACCTGCTACCCCAAGAAGCACAATGTCAAGCTGAATGGAGAGCTTTGGGACCAACACAATTAATTCTCTTTAAACCGTTTACCTTTGTATAACAGGATGATCCCAGGTATTAACAGCAGCAAAACAAGACAAATTCAGAGCAAGCTTTTAATTAAGGACATCTAAGTCTTTTGCCAGCATGCTAACTCAATACAGAAGAACAGAACTTCTAGTTCAGAGCTTTCCTTTGTGTAACAAACAGGTATATCAAGTGATGCCAATGGTACTATTTTATATGTACATGATCCTGGGCACTCTTGGAAGACTATTTATCAGTATTTTGCAAGTGAAGAAGAGAACATGATGGATATTAATCAACATACACAGGCTTGCACATGGACCAAGAAAGTCAGAGCTAGAGCACAAATCCTACTCATCTCCAAACTTGGGTTGTTTCTCGGTTCTTTCCAGATTTCACGGCCTAACCTCCCTTATAGGAAAGAAAGAGACAGTTGAGGTTATCTAGAATATTTCCCATCCCCAACACCCTCCCTGCTGTCATTATTCAGTTAGCTCCCCGCAAAAGCAGCCTACCTATGCCCTGGGTAATCTCTTTCAGAGTCTTAGCCCAAATTGACTTGAAATTCTATTATCTCACTGATGGAAAGGGCTTTAAGGGTAATCTAATCCAGCATCTCTTCACACACCTGAATTCTTTTCATGTTCTCCTTGGCCCAACTTCATGAAGCTAATCTCAAAATACCAATTACTCACAATCCTCTACTAGGTACCTTTCTGGCCTTGGTAAGGAAAGGATGGGAACAAGTTTGTATCCAGAAAGACTGAAGAAAAGGTAAAACTATCTGTGTACACTAGGAAAACGATTCTCATTTGGACACAGATAGTGTCCTACTTCCTGAATGGCAGTGTCCCTAGAGTTCCTCATTTAACGTTTCCTGGCCAAGACCAAGGCACTAAGTTGGAAATGAGACAAGAACCTTACCTTTCTCCTCTCAGTCGCTCCCCTGGAGAGCATCAAACCCCCATCCAGCATTCCATTTCCAAAACTGAGAATCCAAGACAGATCCACCAAAAAATGTGCAGCTTTTCTCATCCAGGTCCAAAGTCCATGGCTGAGTGGACCTTGAGGGGGAGGAGTCTGGGGGAAGGGGTGTGTCCAAGCCCCTCCCCCCCACACTGCAGACTTCAAAGTCCTTCCCAGGAGGCTGTTACCTTGCTTCATTCAGCTGGTTTATTATGCTCAGAGGCCAGTGATGGTCAGATCCCAGTACACTCCCATCTGTTGGTCAGGCAGGAGAGGTCATCCACTATGAGGACTGGTCCATCTGTTTTCTTCTGGGGCTCAAGAGAAGAAAGAGACCTTAAAACCAGCATGTTCCTGTGTTAACCTGAAAAACAATGAAACATGACACTATACTGTAGAATGAATGCATTCTTCACTTTCTAGTTCCCCTCCATCTCTCTCTCTCTCTGTCTCTGTCTCTCTCTCTATCTATCTATCTATATATATATCCTTTTTTTATGGTACTGGGGATCGAACTCGGAACCTCGTGCTTGCGAGGCAGGCAGCGGAACCAGTGAGCTAAATCCCTAGCCCTAAAGTATATTTTTTTACTGTGCTGTATCATCAAAATCTTAAATATTCCTCATGTTACACAAAGTACTTACTTCATTTACATACTGTACTACAAAACACACTTACCTTATCAATATGGGCACATGCATGTGGCTCAGGATAAGAGTTGTACCTATTCTCAGGACAGAAAAGTAACCAAAAGGATTGACTGTGTGCAGGTTGTCTTCGAAGAAATATAGAAAAGTGCACTGTCCTCTCACCGAAAGCACTAATCAAGTCTCTCAAGCTTCTTAAGGTATTTAGCACTTTAATCTGGCCCTCTCTTCAAGTGAACAATCCTTCCCAGAACAAGATGCTGACCTCTTCCACATGCATTCCTAGCTCCTTTTCCTTTTACCTTCTCACTTCTCCCTCTGATTCCTCCCAAAACTGTGCCTGGCGTTAATTCCTAATCCCTGTCAAACTAACTCCTTCACAAGGCCAGTGACAAGAGCGCTCTCTGAGGCCCGAGTCCTGCCAGCAGTGGCCCCAGTGTCCCACTGTTTCACTGCGAGAGCCCACCTCCGGGGCCCCTCCTCTCTAAGTTTATTCCTCAACCTTCTCACTTCTCCCTCTGATTCCTCCCAAAACTGTGCCTGGCGTTAATTCCTAATCCCTGTCAAACTAACTCCTTCACAAGGCCAGTGACAAGAGCGCTCTCTGAGGCCCGAGTCCTGCCAGCAGTGGCCCCAGTGTCCCACTGTTTCACTGCGAGAGCCCACCTCCGGGGCCCCTCCTCTCTAAGTTTATTCCTCAACACACATTCTACCCCCAACCCCACGTTCCTAGTTTATGCTGGACGGGGGCGGGGGGTGATGTTGCGACCCTCACTAGGTTCCGAGCCCCATCCCTCTGCCGCGCTGACGACCCTCTCCTTAAATTCGCGGCTTTCTTACCTGGATTCTGCCTAGTGTAAGTAGGCTGAAGCCACGGTCCGCCGAGTCCAAGTCCAGACCCAGGCTGAGTCCCCACCGCCGGCCCAGGCCCCACCCCCTCGACCCCGGGAGGCCCAGCCCTCCCCCAGCGCTCCTTTCGCCCCTCCCACCCTCTGCCGCAGCCACTTCCGCCATCCTCCGGAAGTGAGCCCGCTACAGCCACTGCCTTCCGGCATCCGGCCTCCACCCGGCACCCTGCCTGTCACACCGCCACCACGGGACCCGGGAGACGAGTCTGCAGCACCGGAGGTTGTTCTACACTATTCATACGATTGAAGACAAACTGCGGGCCAAACCCGATCTGGGTGAGAAAGGGAGCTAAGGATGGAGACCGTACAAGAGGGGGCGGGACGGAGGAGAGAGCGTGTGACTTCCCGTGCTCCTCGCGGGAAGACAAGCGCATGCGTACGGGGAGTGTGACTGTCGCCCGAGTCGTCACCCGGACTTCCTCCCCAGGCTGGATTTGGGCTGGAAGGGGCGGGGCGAGGGACGCAGGAGTCGGGGGCGGGTCCAGAGGTTGCCTAGCAACGGTTCGCTGGACTGAGCTTCTAAAGCAATTTGCCGCCAGCTCCCTTCTTCAGATGCCTGTCCTGCGAAACACCGTTCAGAAAGCACCAAGGAAGGCTTGTGTTTACCTATTTCTGTGTTGAGAGCTCTGTGCAGCAAAACCGGAGAAAGTTGTTTTGTTCCTCATTTTTTCTGAGTCTCTGCATACGGCAGGACTTTCGACTAAAAAGAGAAAGAAAAGGCTGGGGGCGGGGGCATTAATGAAAACGCCCCCCCCCCCGTGGTCCTTGGCTGTACCCTTCCTGGGCTGAACTCTTTACAAGTAATTGTACATCCACAAATCGGGACCCCAAGTATCGTCACCACAGCGAGAGGTATACCGGTTGTTCCAGGCCTAGAGATAGGGTCTAGACTTGCACCCTGCGGTCTGGTCGCTGCCCACATCTTTTCTTCACTCCAAACTACCTCAAGTACCTCCTGTCTCCTTAAAAGAAACCTACTCCTTAAAAGGTCTGGACTTCTGTTATGGCTTGTATCTTGATGTGTTTGTGTCCCGTGCCCCCACCGCCCCGCAAATCCTCTTGTGATCATAGGTGGAGCTTTCGGAGGTGGCCGGATCTAGTGTGTGATGCTGGAATTAAGGTGAAATGCTGGGTGTGCATGGCACCACCCAAGGGCAGGTATCCTGGATGAAATAAGAATGGTAGGCTACTGTTGGTGCTACTTCTCTGCTTTCCTGCTCTCTGCCTCCCCTGCTTTGCCATGGACCGTTTCTCCTCTGCAGTGCCCCTCTGCCAAGCCACCCTGCCCTGGAGCCAGCTGACTGTGGACTAAAACCTTTACAAACTGTGAACACATAAACTTTTCCTCCTTTAACTTTTGGGTTGGGTATTTCGGCAATAAGAAAAGTAACTTAGACAACTTTCAAGTTCCAAAATTGCCAAGTTGCTTTTTTCCTTGACTTAAAGCTGAATCCACGTAAGCTACTACAGATGTTTGGAGCCAGGCATAGTGGCACACATCTGTAATCTCAGCATTCAGAAGGCTAAAGCAGGAGGATTGCCATGAGTTCGAGGCCACCCTGGGCTACATAGTTCAAGGCCAGCCTGAACTATATAGAGACGCTATCAAAAAACAAAACAAAACAAATTTTTGGAGTTCATATGCCATGCTGTGTTCTAGAATCTTGCCAGAACTGTAGACATATTCACAGACTCTGTTTTCCTCCGTTTTGAAAACTGGAATCTAGGCCCTGATCTTCAGGCTTTTTCTTTTTCTTTCTTTCCTTTTTTTTTTTTTTTTTTTTTTTTTTTTTTTTAACTAGGGCTTGAACCCAGGGCCTCTGTACTGAACTACATCTCACTTATGTAATTTTAAAATTTTGAGACAGGGTATTACTAAGTTGTCCCGGCTGCTTCCTAGAGTCTGGGATTGCAACTTGTACCACCATGTCTGTCTTTTGGCATTTTTTTCTTCCTTTGGTGAGATTATGTATTTTTAAAAGACTTGCTACAGGCAACTTTGAAAGGCAGGCTTTCAAAAGGAGAATACCAACTCAGAAATATTAAAGATTTTGAAGATAATCTAGGCAACAACACATTACAGCTGAGTCTTCATGCTGAAGATACAGGCTTTCAGAGACTATTGGTTGTTGGTCTTTTTGCTCTAGTGCTTGCTAAAAGTATGGATACTAGTAGAGTTGACCCCTTGGGTTTCTGTGTGTTATTGAGCAAATTACTTATTGCATTGCCTCAATTCTTTTCATCTGCAAAATATAGACAATAATAGTACCTGATTCATGGGATTGTAAGAACTGAATACAAATAAAGCACTTCACACCTGGGACATGGAAAGTATTCATTAAATGCTCTTTGTGAAAAATTCATGGAAGGTCAAGAAAAGACATGATTTCAATTTGCGTAAAAATCGCATCTTGCAATCATCTCATCCTTCCTGCCTGTGGAATTAATAATAACACAAAAATAATTACCTCTAGCGTTCTTATTTTTATTTTTTTTCTCAATTCCCCAATTCATGGGAGCAGAGCAATGCATCTGAATATGTAGAGCCCTCTGATTCTGTATGATGAAATTTACAGGCCATTGGGTTGACTGGTTTTTTTTCTTCTTGGGTGCTGGAAATGTTCAAAATTGTGGACTACAGCCATGGACTACATCTACACCTTAGATCATCCCCTTAAAAAAAAAAGAAGAGTTCTCACTTCCTGATGCAAAGCAGCCTGGGATGCAAAGTCCTCGATTCAGCAGTTCTGAAAATCATCCAGGCTCTAGGGAAATCTGGACATGGAATCACCACAGAGAATCCAGACACATAAGTGCAGCCACATACCTGTCCTGATTGTAACACTGGGTAACTACACACAGTCACATCTCCCTCAAGGCACCTGGTAATAAGAGTCCTACTTAGTGTGAAATAGTTTAAGCCAACCTTTATTTCTACCATGGATAACTAGATGAGTTGCAGTTTCCCAAGTTACTATTATTTTACCTATGGATGTCTTTGTTCAGATGCCTCAATTCTTTTTTAACAATGGCTGGAAATGTGTCTTTATCCCCGTTTACTGCATATTCAAATCATCAGCCATAAAAGAAGAATACATTTTGGATTTGAATAAACATATTTAAGCAAATGCATGATGGGAAAGATGTTCTCAGTTCTGAGCTATTTGTCTGCATAAAGGGATACTGTTAGACTAGGCATGGTGGTGCATGCCTGTCAGCCCAGCTTTTGAGAGGATGAAGCAGGATTGCTGTGAGTTCAAGGCCAACCTGGACCACACAGTGAGTTCAATGCTAGCCAGCTACCGAGTGAGACCCTATCTCAAAAAAAAAAGAATGTGTGTGTGTGGGGGGCGGATACCACTGATCTTGTCCAGCAGGTCAACAGATGTGGTATCTCTCCTCAGCTAGATATAACAGTAGCTGCAAGATTAATTTGCGGGTATAAAATATGTATTAACAACAGAAGCAGTTACAACCAAAGAAAATTACTGAAACGGTAGTATGTATCATGTGTTTGTACTAGCTGAGCAAGGAGACTGAAAGGCAGAAATCATTTACTGTGGCCATAAGTGCTACCTTTTAGGATTCTCCAGTAATGCCTAAACCATAGGAGTTTTTACTTTATAATATATGAAGAAAGTTAACACATATTAAATCTTTTTTAAATCCTTGCTTAAAACTCCAATTAAGGGGCCGGGGATTTAGCTCAGTGGTTCAGTGGCCTGCCTTGCAAGCGCAAGGACCCGAGTTCAATCCCCGGTACCAAAAAAAAAAAAAACTCCAATTAAGTATTCAGTAATCAAATGAACTTATAAATGACAGAATAGTATGCAGCTGTTACAAATCACATTAGATAAACTCCCTTTTAGATTATAAACACTGGCATTTTTTTATCCACATGGAACTGTTAAAACTGTCATTATGCAGAGTGCATTTAATCCACCTCTAAAAGTTATGCACTCTGCATAATGCGATGGACATAAGTCTTGTGGGGGTTATAGTTTGGATGTAGATGTTCGGAAAATGGCTTTTGTGTTCAGAGGTGGGGCCTTAGGAAGGTGACTGGGTTGTGGAGGCTGACTTGCCTTAGGAGGTAGGCCTGGTTAGAGATAGGACCCTGGAGGGGTGATCTAGAAAAGTGTATATCTGTCCCTTTCTCCCTTCTCTACTTCCTGACTGCCATGATGTAAGCAGCTTTCTTCCACAGCAGGCCCTTTCACTATGCCTTTTCTGTTTCAGATTGCTAACCATAGACTGAAATGTCTGAAACTAAGCCAAAAGAAACCACTTCTTGAAGGTGTGAGGTATTTTGTCCCAGATATGAGGAAGGTAACTAAGACATTGTCTTTGCTAATGTGATAGAAAAACTGATTCATGGTGTTGTTTTATCTCATTAATTGCTTGTAAAGTTCAACTTGTTTTTATATATCGCTTGCAAATTGCTTCTTAATATCATTTGCCCATTTGGACTCATCTTTATTTCATTCTTTTGCAAGAACTCTTTTTAGATTATCACCCTTTTTTTATCTATACTGCAGCTGCTTTCTCAGTTTGTTATTTGCCTTTTTAGTCTTTTCATATGCTCTTTTTTGACATTGCAGGAGGCAGTGCTAGCTGAGGCAGAAGTTTGGTCTTCCTGTGCACACTCTGCCTTTATTTTTTGTTTTTTGTTCTTTTGAAACAGGGTCTCGCTATGTAATTCAGGCTGGCCTTTCATTTACTATGTAGCCCAGGCTGGCCTCAAATTCACAGCAATCCTCCTGCCTCAGGATCCTAAGTGCTGGGATTACA